CTTAGTATAGCAAATTGTCAATTCTGTACAAAATAAATACATCCATCAGCAAGAACTGCACGTTAACAGATGGAATTAGACATAAGGAATGGTTTGTTTCCCTCCTCCAGTTAAGCCTTCCGCTTCCCTGTACCATATGATTTTTTTCTTTTTTCCTACCTTCACTGCTACCCATCCTCGCCAGTTCAGAGCGCATGCATGCACACTGAGAAAATTAATCAAAGACTTCACCATGAGATGCATTTGAATAGACCTCCTGACAACTCTCGTAACATCAGATGGCCCTGCTCTGAACTTTAGCTAAGTTATTGATTATTTATAGCATTATTTTTGGATCGAGGGAGGGATCTAAATAATAATCTGTTGACAAAAAAAAAAGCAGGTAACAATGGGTTGAGGTAACCCTTTAATAATGAATCTGTCTGTGGATCACACAGTCTGAGAAACTTTCTGTTAATTGTTATGAAAAACGACTTACTAGACATTTGGGGATATGTAGTGGATCTTTGAACAGTTTTTGTCAGCTACAATCATTCCTTCAGTTGCTCTGGTATCTGCTCCAAGAATTACTCCATCCTAGAAAAAAAAACAAAAAACTTCAGCCTTCAGGTCAACCTGCTATGTGGATGTTTAAGTTTAACTGCAGTGTAATTACACCATAGACAATTCATGAATTAAAACATTTAACTGGATTGGAAGGCTGGCCATAACATGTTCCTCCCTCTTGATGCTTTTTTACAGTCACCAATTGTCTCGATGCAGTAGTCCACTTAGTTTTAACATTGAAATGTAAAGCATTGTGTTTAGTAGACATTGCTATGCTTAAAGGGCTCAAATCAAGTCTATCAGGAGTCTACTAAGTAAAACTCTGTTCTCACAGCTAAAAGTCTATAACAAAAGTAGATCCCTGATGTTGTGATGGTACACCATCCATTATCCTCCAAAAGGTTTATGGCTACCAAGTCTCTGATGAAGTGGGGCTGACACCCACGAAACGCGTTAGACAAGCAGGATACGGACGCAGAAGTTCAGTAAACCAGCAGCTAACAACATTTCCTCATTGAGAGTGTGATACTGAAGCATCTGGGGACCGACCGGCCGACAAGCGTGCATCCCTCAGAGTGAGGTCTGGGACGCACGCCAACCTCACAGCCGGCAGCCAGAGATCACAGTGAGAGCAATACTGTATCCATATCCATCCTGGATGGTCCCTGCGGTTCAGTTGATATTAAGACTGCTGAAGTGCTGGTAACATTCTTGCAATACGTTCCTGATGTTCATTTTTTAATTTTTTGTTCATATTTAAAATACTTTTTTAATATATTTTTAATATTGTTATTATTCAATAAACTTTACACTATTTTTATCTAATTTTTCATCTATCTACTTTTCTATTATGTTTTTATAACATATAGTGATTTATCCAACAGTATAAATTTTACATTTAATTTGGTTTTTTATATATCATAGTATGTGATATTGACACAGATTTTGTCATGTCCTATTAGTTACAGATTTAAAGATATATACACTTTTAATTGTATAAGCCTCTTGCCATATAGGAAACAGTTCCTTATACTGTTCTCCTATATACACTCTTTATTACAGTGTTCATCTTGAAATTTTAAGTAGAGCAATTTGGTGTGTAACAACTTGATTCTGCTTCTAGCAGATTTAAAGATATACACCCCATATATATTAGCTGTGTATCTTTCAACATAGAAAAGCCTTTCTAAGTGAATTGACTCCTGGATTTTACTGCACCTAATTTTAGGAGCATACCAAGCTATTTTTAACTATATTACTATTGCAAAAGGATCTTAAAGGGACACTCCAGGCCCCTCATGTACTTCAGCTTGCTGAAAAGCTGTATTTGTAAAGAGTGTGTCCTCTTTATTTAATTTTGCAAAAAGGGCAGATTTCCAGAAAAATTGGCACTTTCAAAAATTTACCTGGTTACACCTCCTGGTTTTCAAGGAGACAACCGGTCCCGTTACTTCTTGCTTTTGTTAGCTCAGTGGAACTAATCTCAAGAGGCAGGCAATTGTCCAGAGCACCTGCCTTGCAAAGACTTAATTCAGCTGCATTGGGAAGTCTGTGATTGGATAGCTAAAGATAGTCTGGACAGGATTAGAAGTGGAATGCTGGCAAAGGCAGCAGACAAGAGATCTACAGATTCTGTAATAAGTTTTTAGATATATCGCCAATGCAAAAATGCACAATCAACTGCATGCATAGTTTCATTTGGGGTATGTTAACTAAACTGTAACTGTAAACTTTCTATTTATTTTGTATTTGGGCAGTGAAGTTTCCCTTTAACCAAGCACATTTAAGATGGACAGTCTACTTCTAGTAATTTGCTAGAAAAGCAAATATCTCTATAATAAAAATGAAATGCATGTATATAATTGTAGAGAGGGACAAGTGCACCTCAGGCCATCAGAAGCAAAGCAACAATGTCACGGTCATGGGTCAAGTTATGCAAAGACCGCAGACAGTTACAGAGCTCCTTTAAGGTCAAAATAGCCATGGAAAAAAAACTAAGAATGATTTACTTGCAATTCGGCTACTTTGGCCATAAATTTGAAATCCACTTTGAATTCTCACTTTAGTCAATAACATTGGTCTCTGGGCTCCTGAATCTCTCATACACCTTCAGTGACATTCATTATTGCATAGCACACGTTGCAGTAATATATATTTTCCTGGGTTTTTTTTGTTCCAGAGCAAAGCCAATGGTCATCTGCTCACTGACATTTTAGCTACTGTTAAATACAACACAAATTCACTCAGTTACTAGGGCCCCCTTCCAGGTTACTACGGAATGCAGACCATCCCAGAAAAGTGCTGCACCAGATCATCAACTCTCCTGTTTATTTGATGATTACTCTCAATCACTGGGCTAAGCCCTGCACTGCCAGGCTCAGGTCAATATAGAGAGATTCTCAGCTGAGAGGAACCAGAGACTGGAGCTCAACGGGCCCCAAATAAGTTCAAGCGTTACGGAATGGTTTGACTACATACACTGCACTTCTGGCACCATAATCACAACAGTGTGTTGTAGTGGTTATAGTTTTTAAGAATGTTCCTTTTAAAAAAAAAAAAAAAAACAACAAAACAATGTCATTTTATATAGACATTTGTAGAAATGTGACAATCTTGAACTTCAGTAACTTGGTATTAGGTAGTTTAAGGAGAGAAAATAATTACACTGAGCTGATGTTCCTGATATAAACAGTAGTTAAAATTGTTACTCCAAGCCCCTTAACCACTTCAGTGATTTCAAGAGGTGTTAGGAGTATGTATTTGCAGTGTTACACCTTGAAACACTGCATTTACAGTTATTGTGCGCTGGCCTGCCAGGGGCTAGTTGCACCCCTGACTTAAGTAGCCCAAAACTCAGTTGCAGGCAGCATAATGTCAATTCTGGGCATGCAACATGTCTTTCATCAGCTTCCACTGCAGAGCGCCTGCAAGCATAAAATAGCCTTCTCCTCCCACTATGCACTTCTTACGTTGAAGATTTTTTTCCGTTTTAAAATCGCTCCTTGTCTCCACGCCGGTCCAGAGAGCACACAATGTGCTCTGAGCCAGCAAATCAGTCCAATCACAGGTTTCTCTATTAGAACCATGTGATTGGACCTGTCGCGGCTGCAATGACATCACAAAGTCGTAGAAAGTGACTCTGGGAGCTTTGCCCATCACTGGAATCCAGGTAAGTAATAGCTTTAAACTTATTTTTCCTATTTTGGGTGTAGCGGACCCACATTATACATTGATAGATACAACATGAAGAAAAGTGTTGGAGTAACACTTCAACAGGTCTAGACCTTAACCCTGAATGTGTGTTGTACATACCTTGAAAACAATCCCAGCAATTGTGGTTCCGGTTTTTCGAGCAGCAGGGAGCTTGTGTACTTTCTGAATAAATTCATTCTCCAAATGAATATTTCTAGAAAAGAAAAATATGAAACATTGAGTGAATGTTTCACCAATATGACTCATACTTGAGATCTCCTGATCAAGACCACTGAAATATCCTCAAAGCTAGACCTGATATATGGAAATAAAGTGTAACATGGAAATAAAGTGTATGATTTACACAGGGAATTCCATCACTAAAATGCACTAACAAAACTAACTGTAGACATGCCTCTGTAAATGTTGCCCTCTAGTGAAACACTAGCCAAAATGGCATTAATTTCTTTCTGTGATCCTTGACAGTGTATCTTAGGTTCACAATGAAAGCATGAAAATTCTAAAATACGGTTCTAAACAATATCATTTCATATTACCTCATACTTCTGTTAACGGTGTCAACATTTTTAGTAATCACAAGTGGGGAATTTAGTAAATTGTTTATTTTAATGGCCTATATGTTGATCTTTCCAGTAATCTTGTCATTGTAATCCAACCTAAAACCAAACCATGACTTCTTAGATTAATTAGAAAGCACCAAAACAATGGGCAAAGGTAATCCTTCTATTTATTAAATGGCAAACATCCCTCTCCTAGTTACCCATCAGCTTTTTATTTTGTTTAGACAGTTACTGCTAGGGCTTAGTTCAGTCAATTCATTCTGCTCTGTGCATGGCTCTAGTCAAAGCCCTGAGTCACACCACCATGCATCTTCCCTCCATGGCTCCCCCATTCTCTCTGACGCCTACAGTCCAGCATTTATCTCCCTCTGTACACTAACTACCTTTAACATACTCTATATCTCTCGCTCGTAACCCTCACCTCCTGCAATTCCCAAACCCGAAGCCACCGGTGGGAGCACTGCGCACAGTCACGGCCGCCATCTTTCCTGAGTGAGATGCAACTTCCGATGCCGGGAAGAACAGGGACACCTTCCGGCTGTTCGATTACATGCATGACAATAAAGTTCTTACAAAAAAGAAAAAAAAAAAGAGACGCACACGCTCTTTAGATCACGCGATTCTTATTGTTCTGTGCTTGGTTACATTGCTGAATTTAGAACGTTTGAAAGGTTGACAGGTAGAATATGTTCTCATACCAACAAACATTTTAAGTGGACACTTTATGCTAGGGGTGGGCTATGATGAGAAACTGTAAGTGACTTACTAATAATTTAGTCACATAAAATGTGTAGATCCTAAGTTTAGGAGGAAAAGTCCATATTTTCTAGGGGCTCAATACTATTTGTCTGTGAGACCTTGTGAAAAACTAAAAATAGAGTAGGTAACACAGCTTTCAATAGCCTAATACATGGGTTCCCAGTTAATTTTCCACATGGAACCCTTTGACATAGTGTATCAACATCGTGGACCCCCGCCCCCAAAAAGGAAAATTGTGCAGTTGCATAGAACTTTTTTTTTGTGTGTCTGTGGGTCAAGGTGTAAGTATCTGTCTTTGTATGTGTGTATGTATCTGAAACACAGATATACACACACCTTGACACACAGTGTGTATATGTATGTATCTATCTGTGTGTCAAGGTGTGGGTGTCATAGTGTGTATATCTGTGTTTGTATGTAACTGTGTGTGTGTGTGTATGAATCTGACACACAGTGACACAGATACACACACCTTAAAACACAGATACACATAGTGGCACACAGATACACACACACACTGAAATATACACACAGATAGAGACACACTGGCAGATACACATTGACATAGGTAAACACAATGACACATACACACACTGTCAAATACACACATTACATTTTTTTATATTTGCAGTCACCCTCCTGTTAGCATACCGGTTGTCTGCAGGATTTGCTGGCTGAGGCTGGTGTGTGTGGGGGGAGCTGCTTACTGTCAGCTGCTGCCGCTCTCCCTCCAGTGTGGCATTTTCTATATGAAGCTGGGAGGAAATGACCGCCCGTCAATTCCTGCCAGCATCCCATACTACGGGGACCCGGTCGTGCAATTAATCTGCCGCAGCACTGACTGGGTCCATTTGCAACTATAAACACAAAGATAAAGCACAGCGCTTACAGCAGCAGTAGCGTAGTATCCAACAGCTCAAAATACACAATAAAAACAAAGAGAACGTTACCTGCGCTCTGGCCTAAATCCCTATGTACATTTAAACAAAATGGAGGCTCTTTAGTTTTATTCCAATGGCCATTTGAATATATAAGCTCACCTGCCACGTCAAGGCAAGCCTCAAAAGGTGAGTCCTACACTAGCCATTAGATATGCTGATATCAGCCAAGAATCTCCAGTGAGACAAGAAGGGGTATTTTATTATCCCTTTCACATTTAACCCTTTATAGGGCTTCTACACATACAATAAACTTTGCTGGTATCAGACAAAGTGTAACCATCTCTAATGAGACATGAAGGGGTGTTTTATAAACCCTTACATACTTATTAACCCTGAATAGGGTTATAACACATATGAATCACCTTGCTGATAGCTAAAAGGCAAATTTCTCTGTTGAGACAGGAAGGGGTGCTGCCCCTACATACTTATAAACTCTTAATAAGACAATCATGGAGTGGCTGGCAGCAATGTAACATAGCTGTGTGATACAAACATTATATACAAACACAAAGATAAAGCACCGCACAGCTATGCCCATCGGACAACCCGATTTCTTATTTCTGCCTGTGTGTGAGTGTGTATGAATCTGACACACAGATACACACACAGATACACGAAAACCGACACACAGATACACTGAAAGATACGCTCTCTGGCACATGCATACACACTCTATACACAAACACACTGAAAGATACACAGACTTGAAAGTAAGAAATATTAAAATATATAAAAAGTAGCGTGAGCGCTCCTCAAAAAATAATCATGAGTATAAATAAAATAAAATAGTTATATAATTAAAACAATATTTTTAAATTTTCTTACCGTTAAGGACCAGGGCTGTTTTTCCATTTCTATGGTGTTTGTCTTTAGCTGTAATTTTCTTCTTACTCATTTACTGTACCCACACATTTTTTTTTTTTTTTTTAAATTCTTTATTTAACATTTAGCATTGACATAATAAGCTGACGCACATAGGCAACAATCACTAAGGTGACATACAGCGCTTTTATACACGATGTAAAACCTGATATACCAACGTGTGCATATCACTTATCATCCCCTATATTCCACTGTGCCTTGCGCCGAGTCTTCGGATTGCATGTGCGTCCATCTGGCTCGTATTCGGTCACTGCCCAGGTCAATGCCAGTTTTCTTAGTTAAAAAGAACTCAAAACGAACACACAGAAAAGAAGTGTTTTGTCTGCATCCCCTTAATATTGATCCATTTCGCTTCCCCCGGTCCACTTGTCCTCTATCTCCATCTCTCCCTCCCGTCGACTTCCCCCAGTAGGACAGCTCTTCATGAGGCTAAGCCCCATTAGTGGTCCTTCCCGTATGTCTATAGCAACCGCTCAGTTGGTGTTATAGTATTCTCTTCTTCTAACTGGCTATCTGTATTGCGTTCTGTAAAATTGATCAGTGTCCCTCCTGGAGGGTCAACGGGGGTACATCAATTCCCCTTTCCTAACCAGTGGGCCCCGTGGATATAAAGCGACAAGGCAATTGTTGCGGTGGAGACTGAAAGAGAGAAAAGTGGGGTGGAAAGAAGGTAGGGAAGGGGGGGGCTGCACTTCCTGGATTCTAGTAAGAACTCCTTGTATCGTGGGAGCCGTCTGTTTTAGCCAATTCGCCGCTATGGCTCTCCTTGCTGCCAATGTGATTTTATGGAGGAGTTTTTGTTCCCTCCGGGTCCACCCCTCTATTGACCTACTTTGTAAGTAGACCCACAGGTCTAACTTTGGGGCCCTGGAATAGACTTGGATTATCATGTCTCTGACTTGTGTCCAGAATTTGTTTATCACTGGACAGTCCCACCACATATGCCTATATGTTCCTTTGGTGCCACACCCCCTCCAGCACACGTCCGTGGGAGTCTTCCTCATGCGGTATAACTGTACGGGGGTAGTGTACCATCGGAGCATTGTTTTTATCGACTGCTCTTGCATTGTGACACATACCGAAGAGGTATGGTTGGCCTCCCATATTTCTTGCCATTCCACCCCCTCAATTTCTTCCCGAGATATCTTTCCCGTTGTGTTATATATGTGAGACTTCCCCATTCCCTAGTCTCTAGGCAGATATGTTTATAAAGGAGTGTTATCAGTCCCTTGGGCATACGTTCCTGGAAGCATATACGTTCAAAGAACGTCATTGTCTTTTGTGCCGCTGCTTGTATGTGCAGTTGCTTTGCGTAATCTTTGACTTGTAGGTAGAGGAAAAAGTCTGCTGGTGTAAGGTGGCCTTGCTGTCGTAGTGTATCGAACAAGATGACATCTGTACCCTGGAATAGCTGACAAATACATTGGAGCCCTACCCTCTCTAAATTCCGGTAATCTCTAGCTGCCATGCCCAGAGGAAATTCTCTATTACGTAGGTATGACATAAGGGGGGAGGGGGCTGAGGCTATGTCGTATTTATGCACCGTGGTGTCCCAAAGCCTGATGGAATTAAGAATGGCCGGGCACGTGACTCTGATCTGGGGTCTATGTGACTTGGGCACCCATATAAGAAGCTGTGGGAGGTCTGCCCCTACCATAAGGGATTCCAAATCCACCCATTTCCTATCCCCCGGTGGTGAGTGCCACATTGCTACCTGTGCTAATTGACTTGCTACATAATAGAAATATAGACTAGGGAGGCCCAAACCCCCTCTATCTTTCGGCCTATACAAAATGTATCTTGAGATCCTATGGTGTTTAGAGTTCCAGATGAAGGTCCCTATTGTTGAATGACGGAGACCCTTGAAACAAGGAGATCCCAGAAGTAGCTGCTGAACTTAACAGAATAAATAGTATAGTTACCAGGTGGCAAGTAGAGAAGAACAGGGGGCTGTACTTGTAAGTGGATAAAAGGGTGAAGGGGAATAAATAGAAATACCCATATATACCCTATATACGCCACTGCTAGTTGTATTTGATAGCAGCAAAGGAATGTCCCTTTAACAAAAAAAAACAAAAAGAGAGACTCTAGCATTTATACTAGAAAAAATTTCAAAAATTAGGACACCTAAGCTGCAAAAATACAATAAGGCAACACAAAATATGTGTAATACATAAATCACCCCACTAATATAAAGGCAGGCAAACAGGAACCTATACAAACATGAATAGGAGAAAAGAGAGCGAAAGGGGGACATGGGCAGACCCACTAAGGACAAGCCCTTAGTCCAGAGGAGACCCCCCAGGACCAAAAAATGCCTGCCTAGAAAAAACTCTAAATGCCAAATAATAAATTGCTAACTATACTAACTAACTAAATCAAACATACTAACTACCTAAGTGCTACCTAATGTGAGAGAAAAAAGATAAATCAAATAAGGCGCTCGACGCGCGTTTCAGCGTGCATACACGCCGTCGTCAGGAGCTATTGCAAATGCAGTTCCTATTGAAGCCGGTTAAATACCTGAGCAATCAGAGAAAAGTCCCTCCAGCTGATCCGGCGTGTGGGAGGAGTGGGTGATTGACATGAAGTCACCACTCCTCCTCAACCACGTCATCGCTTATGCTGGAGTCTCATTGGAGAATAACAAAGTCAATCACTGAGAGGTGGGGGAGGAACTTATGCATTATCAGAACACACCTATCCAAGCGTACATAGCTTTTATTAATGCTAAGGATTGTTCAGGGAAGCCTAGGTGGGAGAGGAGTGTGAATAAGTATGGCCATTGGACTCTATCAAATGCTTTTTCGGCATCGAGCAAAAGCAGTAGTGTTGGGGTGTTAGTGGTTGCCTGTTTCCATTTGAGGTCAATGTTTCTGCGAGTGTTCTCAAATAATTGCCTACCGGGTATAAAGCCTACTTGGTCCGCATCCACTAGCTCTGTGAGGTATGGGTTGATTCTATTCGCCTGTATTTTTGCAAGTATTTTCATGTCGTGGTTTATAAGAGATATGGGTCGATAGCTCTCAGGGAGGAGCGGGTCCTTGTCGGGTTTAGGTAATAAAATTATGGTAGCTAATGACATATCTTGGTTAGGCGTCCCCCCCCTCTAAAATCATTGAATAGTGTCAGGTGGGGCGTCAGTTCCTCCGTAAATGTCTTATTGTAAGTCCCGTCATACCCGTCCGGTCCGGGGGCCTTATTGCTTTTCAGCTTTGATATAGCCCGGTCAACTTCTTCTGGTAGGATTTCCCCTGCCAACCTGGAACTCGCCTCTTGAGATAATTTAGGGAGATCCAGATTGGAGAGGAATTTGTGTGTCAGTTCTGTATCTGTCGCTATTTGCATTGCTGTGTTCGAGGAGTGGTTGTAAAGTGTCCTTAAAAA